CAAATTTTGTGTACAATAGCCAAAATCAAACAAAAAACTGGAATTAGACACACACACACACACACACACACACACACACACACACACACACACACACACACACACACACACACACACACACACACACACACACACACACACACACACACGCAAAATAGTAACATACAAAATCTTGTGCTCCTATACAGAACATATCCTGCTATCAGTCAGTCAATAAAAAAATAAATAAATAAAAAAATTAAATAACAAACTAATCATTTCCAAAACATCTTTAAGCATTCTTATAATGAACCTCCGGCAAGACTCTAAGTTTATCTGCCGCTTGCTCTGCCGTTAAGTCACGTTGAGCTTGTGCCAGCATTTCGTATCCAACCATGAACTTCTTGACAGTAGCTGAGCGCAGGAGAGGAGGATAGTAACAACCATGAAAAACCCAGTGTTGGACATCATCTTGGAGACATGGCCCAGTTGGAGCACCTGGGAAAGGGGAAAAGGGTATACTATCATTTGTGAATTATTTGACAAAGAGATCAGTTACTGAATTGATTGTTAAAATCAACTATGTCATATTTTAAACAACACTGTTCTATATCCAGGTTTACCACCACAACAAAATATAAATTCCTCACCATGCCAACCCATAGAATAAGGGAAAGAGCATTCAAAGAGATTGTCATATTTGGTTGTCAATTTCTTTACGATATCAGCCAAAGATGTCTTCTCTGTTTCTGTTAGATCTGTCATGCGAGACACATGACGCCTTGGAAGAACCATTGTCTCGTAGGGCCAAACTGCCCAGTATGGAACCACAACAACCCAGTCATCATTCGTAACTACAAGACGTTCCTGAAAAGTATTCTGATCTGTGTAACTGATTTGTTGCATGGGGTCTGTGTCTGATGCTATCAGATTAAATTATTTTAAAAATGTAAAAAAAGATAAATAAGATTAATGAATTTTAATACAATATTTTTTTTATCTATACCTATACAGTAGTACATTTCCAGCTGTTAAATTATTTACACTAATCATAATGAAAGGATCCTGAAAATTTAAACTGTTGATATTGTGAGTGCAATTATCCATGCCATATGAAATAAATTTTAAGTTTATAAATTTTGTTTACACTAAGCACTAGTGGAGCCTAAAGTGAACCTTTGCTCAAGGGGAGGTTTCAGGTGAAATTTTAATGATGGTAGCATATGGAGCAAAATCAAATTAGATATGGCATGTGCAGTTGCTCTTCCAGAATCTACAGCTTAATTGATGTTTATAAACTATTACTAGACAAAATCATATATATGAGAAAAGGCTGCTTGAATTGGAAAGGGTAATTGGAGTTATTGACTCTTGATCTGGTATATTTCTCATTTAATATTCAAATTTCATCTGTATTTCTAATATCCCCACTTATTGAAAAAAATATATATTATATATATATATATAGATATATATATATATATAGATATATATATATATATTGTCAGACCATATCAAATCCCAAATTTTGTGTACAATAGCCAAAATCAAACAACAAACTGGAATTAGACACACACACACACACACACACACACACACACACACACACACACACACACACACACACACACACACACACACACACACACACACACACACACACATACACAAAAAATAGTAACATACAAAATCTTGTGCTCCTATACAGAACATATCCTGCTATCAGTCAGTCAATAAAAAAATAATAAATAAATAAAAAAAATAAATAACAAACTGATCATTTCCAAAACATCTTTAAGCATTCTTATAATGAACCTCCGGCAAGACTCTAAGTTTATCTGCCGCTTGCTCTGCCGTTAAGTCACGTTGAGCTTGTGCCAGCATTTCGTATCCAACCATGAACTTCTTGACAGTAGCTGAGCGCAGGAGAGGAGGATAGTAACAACCATGAAAAACCCAGTGTTGGACATCATCTTCGGAGACATGGCCCAGTTGGAGCACCTGGGAAAGGGGAAAAGGGTATACTATCATTTGTGAATTATTTGACAAAGAGATCAGTTACTGAATTGATTGTTAAAATCAACTATGTCATATTTTAAACAACACTGTTCTATATCCAAGGTTTACCACCACAACAAAATATAAATTCCTCACCATGCCAACCCATAGAATAAGGGAAAGAGCATTCAAAGAGATTGTCATATTTGGTTGTCAATTTCTTTACGATATCAGCCAAAGATGTCTTCTCTGTTTCTGTTAGATCTGTCATGCGAGACACATGGCGCCTTGGAAGAACCATTGTCTCATAGGGCCAAACTGCCCAGTATGGAACCACAACAACCCAGTCATCATTCGTAACTACAAGACGTTCCTGAAAAGTATTCCGATCTGTGTAACTAATTTGTTGCATGGGGTCTGTGTCTGATGCTATCAGATTAAATTATTTTAAAAATGTAAAAAAAGATAAATAAGATTAATGAATTTTAATACAATATTTTTTTTATCTATACCTATACAGTAGTACATTTCCAGCTGTTAAATTATTTACACTAATCATAATGAAAGGATCCTGAAAATTTAAACTGTTGATATTGTGAGTGCAATTATCCATGCCATATGAACTAAAATTTCAGTTTATAAATTTTGTTTACACTTTAGTGGAGCCTAAAGTGAACCTTTGCTCAAGGGGAGGTTTCAGGTGAAATTTTAATGATGGTAGCATATGGAGCAAAATCAAATTAGATATGGCATGTGCAGTTGCTCTTCCAGAATCTACAGCTTAATTGATGTTTATAAACTATTACTAGACAAAATCATATATATGAGAAAAGGCTGCTTGAATTGGAAAGGGTAATTGGAGTTATTGACTCTTGATCTGGTATATTTCTCATTTAATATTCAAATTTCATCTGTATTTCTAATATCCCCACTTATTGAAAAAAATATATACTATATCTGCTTTCAAATTACTATCACTTATATCTCCTTAACATCATTCAAATAAAACAAGGTAATGATAAAAATAAAGGAACCACAAGTTACTGTTACTTCTATGCATGTTTTAATATTCTCAGAAAACACTCAAGATACTAGTCATTTCAGTAATAAAACCCAAACCATATTTCTATTACATGTATAAATATCACAGTGTATCATACCTTTGAAATTGTATTTCTATTCATATATTGACCCTATGCATGTTGGTATATGTACTGCCTAATGTACATTTTGCCACACAGACAGCTCTACAAAAGCTCAGCCTTCAAGTAGTCAAATAGTACCCCAGCATAACCTCATGTGATTTCCCTATTCCTTGAATTTTCAAGAAAAAATGTTATTTTTCTAATGTAACTGAAACTGATCCTGTTACTACTTTTATTACTGACATAGGATTACCATAAATTTACTGAAATAATAATAGCAATAATAAATAAAAGGTTAAAACAAGTGAGATAGGTAGGACTAGTAATTGACTCTCTAGTGACTAAGTACTTGTGGAACTGTCTATGTGAAAACACTTTCAGCAAAATGAAACCACAGTAGACACAGCATGTTTGTCTTGCCATCCCAGCCCAAAAGGTTTAGAATCTTACCTTCTTTTCAAGCTCTCTGTTAACATAGTCCATCAACATAGGTCTTCCATACTTGGCAAAGTAGTCTTTTTGATTAGTGTCTTTCAATTTTGGTTCATTGGGCATAAATGATGATGCCCAGATCTTGAAAAAAAATATATATGTTTTTTCTCATCATATAAGAAGTATATCAGAGCTATAAATACTACCTCATATACTCACACAACATAAATACTCCATATTATATTCTTTCACAAAAGATAAGATATTAAGAACAGAAAAAAAATGACTACAAAAACAAATTAAAGGCTCCCCAATCTAAATATATTCTTTTAATTTACCTGACAATGTGGATGTGGGTTCGAGCATCCCATGACAGCCCCTTTGTTCTCAAAAATCTGCACCCAGGTGTATTTTTTCCCAAGATCTAACATTTGTTTTATCCATCTGCAAGGAAGAATCATACACTAATTTAATGCATGAAAAAAGTAATAATAATAATTTTAAAAATAAAATGAAGAAAAAGAATACTACTACTACTACTACTAATAATAAAACTACGACTACTATTGCTTTTACTACTACTACTACTACTACTACTACTACTACTAAAAATAATAATAATAGTATTAATCATCACCATCATTATCATCATCATCATAATAACACTTATATCATTGTGATAATTATCTTCATTACCCTTTCTCAATACCACAAAGGATAATATCAATATTCATAACAATAATAATTATATCATTATATATAACAAAACAAAAACAACAAAAAACAATAATGATGATGATAATAATTATGATACTACTACTAATAATAACAATAATAATAATAATAATATCAACAACAATAATATTAAAACAATTACAATAAAATAATAACAAGTAAAAGATTAAGAACAATAATAATAGTAATAATAACAATAATAATATTCTACTTTAAAACTGTTTCCCATTCATAAATCATTCTTATATATAGACCCAATCACTGCCACTGCCCCCAAACTACTATCAGTACCTGTTACTGATCCCAGAAGGTAATGACAACTACTGTGGGTGAAAAATAACTGACAGTACTATCTTATGGTATTTCTCATCTGTTGGTATTATTATTTGAAAAAGTACTTTGTTTGATGATGTTTCTCAAGAGGATGCAGTGATATATCAAGTTATGAGTGGAGGACAATCTTTTAGTCTAAAAATATTCAACTCTGATAACAGAAATGGTAATAACAACAATAAAAACATACAACAATAACAGTATTAGTAACAACAGAAACAGTAATGATTTTTTCATCTTGCTTGACTCACTCATCAATAACAGTCTTGATCTCCTGGCAGGTCATGAGAGGGAGTGTCAGGTTTGACTTTGGGTGGAAGCACATGACCCGACAGGTGCCGCGTGCTGGGGATGCCTGGAAGAGAGGGTCATTGCTCTCTTCGGGTGCTGGCACTTCCTCAAGCATGGCTGGGAAGTCATTGGTGAAAACAAATGTCGACTCGTAGTTTGGATTGACCTGTTAAGAGTGTTGGAGGATTATGAATCAAATATCTGCCTATATCAACTTTAAGAAGATAAAGATAATAACAATATTCATAACATTTCACATGTACATAAATCTATATAACTATTTCATCTTCACCAAAAATTTGTCTTAACTGCCTGCTACAACCTCAGTCCAAAGTATCTTCCTAATCATTACAGAATTTAATTATTATCATAATAATTAATACTATTATTACTAGTAATATTTCATGACCTCTGTTTGGATTAGATACATACATTTAGGTTTGAATCCCTTATTCCCCAGGTTTTTTTTTTTTGTTGTTGTTCATAACCTGACAAAGAATTATCCTGCCAATGTAATACTTGAAAAGCAATATAAACAGACAGTTGTAATCTAACTGCCCACAGAAGAGCCTCCCTATATCCAAAATTATCATTATTAATGTCTTTATCATTTTTATATATGATCTTACCTCCCCATTTGGGCGCACCACACCTGGGCAGAGAGGGTTCTTCGGGTCATGGGCGGGTATGTCCTCTCCAACCGGTTTCTCAACCTGTCCTGCCCATGGCCTCTTCATGCGATGGGGAGACACTAGTATCCAGTCCCCTCGCAAAGGATTGAACCTCACGTGTTGATGCTCTAATGATAGTTAGTAGAAATAAAGAATAGTTCTTTTATTATCTAATTACTATTTTTTTTCTTCTTCTTTTTTACAGAAATACAATTCATTACTTTTTCTAAATAAAAATCTAACAATCAAATATCTTACCTGTTGGTTGAAAGGCCATGTTTTAGAAAATACACTTGGATGATGCTCTAATATAAGGTTCAGATTGTCTCTTCTCTCTAATAATAAACCTTAGGCACAAATGAAGCCTCAGCATAGCAGTACTTCTGAAGAACACTTATCTCTAATCAGTCCAGCTGTCATTCAGCATATTCCCACACTATCCTGTCATGAGAAATGTAAAACATTACTTATTAATCCAAGATAGGTATACATATTGATATGTCTCCTCCATGTCTATATCACATGATGAGATCTAAATGTGATATGTGGCTGTTGCATACTTTATATACCAATATAATGTGAAGATAATTATATAAATCAATACACCCACAATGTCAAAGAAAAAAGAATGGAAGAAAGAAAATATTACCAACCTACATAAGTATAGTTTGTAAATGAGCCTGATATTAAAATGTACTTTTACCACATATAATATATTAGAATTAAAATCCAAGACACAATTAAGAGGTACAAAAACTATTATTTTTTAGGTTTGATAAACAAGCAAATGTGTATTTATGATTACTAAAAGTCAAGGTTTCTCTACAGATAAGAAACCTTATCTTGAGTGGATAAAAAAGTTGAGGGAGAGGGAGGACACGAGGAGGAGGTGAAGAAGAAGAGAAAGAAGAAGAGGAGGAGAGGGAAGAAGAGATGGAGGAGGAAGAGGAGGGAAGAGGAGGGAAGAGGAGAGGGAGGAGGAGGAGGAGGAATAAGAGGTGGTGAAGGAATAGAAGGAGGTAGTGGAGAAGAGGAGGAGGAGGAGGAGGTGGGGGGAGGGGGGGAGAGGAGGAGGTGGGGGGAGGGGAGGAGGAGGAGGTAGGGGGAGGGGAGGAGGTGGGGATGGGGGGAGGGGGAGGTGGGGGGAGGGGAGGAGGAGGAGGAGGTGGAGGGAGAGGAGGTGGGGGAGATGAGGAGGGGGAGGAGGTTGGGGGAGAGGAGGAGGAGGGAGGAGGAGGAGGAGGAGGAGGAGGAGGAGGAGGAGGAGGAGGAGGAGGAGAAGGAGAAGGAGGAGAAGGAGAAGAAGGAGAAGAAGGAGAAGAAGGAGAAGAAGGAGAAGAAGTAGGAGAAGGAGGAGAAGGTGATGGAGGAGGAGGAGGAGGAGGAGGTGTAGAAGAGGAGGAGGAGGAGGTGAAGAAGAAGAGGAGGAAGAGGAGGTAGATAAGAGGAGGAGGAGGAAGAGGAGGTAGATAAGAGGAGGAGGAGGAGGAGGAGGTGGAGAAGAGGAAGAAGAGGAGGTGGAGAAGAGGAGGAGGAGGAGGTGAAGAAGAAGAGGAGGAGGAGGAGGTGGAGAAGAGGAGGAAGAGGAGGTAGATAAGAGGAGGAGGAGGAAGAGGAGGTAGATAAGAGGAGGAGGAGGAGGTGAAGAAGAAGAGGAGGAGGAGGTGGAGAAGAGGAGGAGGAGGAGGTGAAGAAGAAGAGGAGGAGGAGGTGGAGAAGAGGAGGAGGAGGAGGTGAAGAAGAAGAGGAGGAGGAGGTGGAGAAGAGGAGGAGGAGGAGGAGGTGGAGAAGAGGAGGAAGAGGAGATGGATAAGAGGAAGAGGAGGAGGTGGAGAAGAGGAGGAGGAAGAAGAGATGGAGGAGGAAGAGGAGGGAGGAGGAGGAGGAATAGAACAAGGTGGTGGAGGAGAAAGAGG